AAACTACATGTACTTACTTCGTTGTTCGTTTTCAATTAATCGCAATTTAAGTCATTCATTTGACCAACAAAAAGGTCCGTATTTCCACTGCTCCTTGTGTATTGTTCATAGAGCTTGTTCTCTGTTTGGTTTCTCCAATTTGTTTGAAATGCTGGTTATTTTATTTATATTTCTAAAGATTTTGTCTTTAATTTACATGGCTTTTTTAATACCTGTCTCCAAAAACCACATGATATTGTCAATCAGAAACTCAAGCATCTTTAAAATAACAACTTCAGAGTACTTGTCTATACAATTAAATGGTTTTTAACATAGTATTTTGCAAATAAGAAATGACAAGGTAAGATAATTTACAAGTTCCATTTTTAATGAAAAGCAGATGTCAATGATGTCAGAAAGTCTAGTTTTGAATTTATCGTGGGGTATAGTTGTATAAAAAGTTGAAATGTCTTAGGTTTTTATTTTGTTGATTTTTGTTCCAAAAGTTCCTTGGAATCTTTAAGTATTCACATGTTTTGTACCGTTCTCTTGAAGTTACTCCTTCACTACTGTTCGTATCTTAGTGAGGAATAAAGAAAGAAGCTTGGTAGAAATATCCCAGTGAACTTGAAATATAAGACACCATAGAGTCTGCTACGACTATTTCATTTTAAGATTGTTTACTGACTAGAAACAATAATGGTCAACTGATGATTCACAAAGCGAAGAAATTATAAAAATTCTAAAATATTCAAATTATCATTACAGTCACACAATAAAATTCTAATTCATCGGGGGTATGTGGTGACGTCTCTACGTGAGTGAAAATTCTCGAATGAAACGTAAAACAACAAACATTCAATTAATCAATCAATCAATCCAAATAATATTTCTTTTTTATTACATTTTTACCCGTGAAATACTGTAATTTATTCATTGAATAAAAATGATATCCTGTCAAAGTGTGAAAGGATATCAAAATGATATCCTGTCACAGTGTGACGAATATCAGAAGTGCGGGAAAACTCTCGATTTCCCTTCCCAGAACGAAGATTGTTGTAAAAAAAATCTTCCTTGACCTAATGAAAGATATAGATGGAAATAAAAAAACCATTTTGACAGCGAATAAAACTGTCAAAAATTACCAAAAATATGTTGCTAAATCCATGTTTATAGTGTTTTCATAAGCTATGACGTCTCAACCGCTCAACTATGACGTCATGTAGCCTATGACTGTATTACAAAAAGACAGAGGCAAAGGAAAAATCAAAGATTTTCTAAAAAAAAAATGTAATAAACAGAAAATTCAATGTTTTGTAGTTTAATATGGAATTTATTTCACTCGTGAGACAGGATTTTTTTTATATTTTCACTCGTGCTTCGCACTCGTGAAAATATTAAAAACCCTGCCCCACTCGTGAAATAAATTCCATATTCAACTACAAAACATTGAATATCCTCTATTTTTTATTTCAGTCAAAGTTTTGGAATGTCTATGGTCGTTATAATGACCGTCTGTCGCATATGATAGATATATCATTTGCCATGGTATATTTCCATATTAATGCTGAACACGACTCATAAATAGGCATACGTCATTTTCGGTATCATTATCTGCGATACATGAACACCAGGGTATACTCTTCAGATTCGTTACACCTAACTGCTTTATTGTCACGGGTATCGGCATGGAATGGCGACCTGTGATGGTGATGGTGCTGGTTATCTTCCATTACTTTTGTTTACATTTTATTGCAGTTACGTGTATCTGTGTCTGTTTGTATACAGTACCAACCTGTACAACTATAATTGTAAGTTTCTTTGGTATCTTACTTTCCTGCATTAGACGAAGTATTACGTTATTATTGTAGCTACCGAGTGCTGGGGCCCGTTTTACAAAAGAACTTACGACTAAGACCCAAAACTTCAGGTTATTGTAAAACTTTGCAGAATTAATTATTCTCTTTGAAATTGTTTGTGTAAAAATATCTAATCACGTTCCTTTTAAAGAGTTAAAATTTAAATTATTTTCGATATGATATTAATCAACAAGAGGCCCATGGGCCACATCGCTCACCTGAGAAGCTTTGACCATTCTGTTCTTTACCAGATTTCCCCCTTGTTATACATAATGCATCCCCACCCTACCCCACTGATCATAATTTAGACATTTTGAAATCTACACTTGATCCTTCCATGGGCACATATGTTTCAGCTTTTTTGGCCCAGTGGTTCCTGAGAAGAAGATTTTCAAAGATTTTTCCTATATATTTCTATGTAAAACTTTGATTCCCTATAATGGACCCGCCCTTCCCCAGGGGGTCATGATTCCTGCAATTTAAAATTTACACTATCCCAGAATACTTCCACATAATCTTCACTTTTTCTGGCCCAGTGGTTCTTGAGAAGAAGATTTTCAAAGATTTTTCCTATATATTTCTATATAAAACTTTGATTCCCCATTCTGGCCCCGCCCTTCCCCCGGGGGTCATGATGTGACCAATTTAGAATCTACATTATACCAGGATGCTTCCACATAACTTTCAGCTTTTCTAGCCCAGTGGTTCTTAAGAAGAAGATTTTCAAAGATTTTTCCTATATATTTCTATGTAAAAATTTGATTCCCCATTGTGGCCCCGCCCTTCCCCCGGGGGTCATGATTTGAACAATTTAGAATCTACACTATACCAGGATGCTTCCACATAAGTTTCAGCTTTTCTGGCCCAGTGGTTCTTGAGAAGAAGATTTTCAAAGATTTTTCCTATATATTTCTATATAAAACTTTGATTCCCCATTGTGGCCCCGCCCTTCCCCCGGGAGTCATTATTTGAACAATTTAGAATCAACATTATACCAGGATGCTTTCACATAAGTTTCAGCTTTTCGGGCCCAATGGTTCTTGAGAAGAAGATTTTCAAAGATTTTTCCTGTTTATTTCTATATAAAACTTTGATTCCCCATTCTGGCCCCGCCCTTCCCCCGGGGGTCATGATTTGAACAATTTAAAATCTACACTATACCAGGATGCTTCCACATAACTTTCAGCTTTTCTGGCCCAGTGGTTCTTGAGAAGAAGATTTTCAAAGATTTTTCCTGTATATTTCTATATAAAACTTCGATTCCCCATTGTGGCCCCGCCCTTCCCCCGGGGATCATTATTAGAACAATTTAGAATCTACACTATACCAGGATGCTTCCACATAAGTTTCAGCTTTTCTGGCCCAGTGGTTCTTGAGAAGAAGATTTTCAAAGATTTTTCCTATATATTTCTATGTAAAACTTTGATACCCCATTGTGGCCCCGCCCTTCCCCCGGGGGTCATGATTTGAACAATTTAGAATCTACACTATACCAGGATGCTTCCACATAAGTTTCAGCTTTTCTGGCCCAGTGGTTCTTGAGAAGAAGATTTTCAAAGATTTTTCCTATATATTTCTATGTAAAACTTTGATAATTGTGGCCCCGCCCTTCCCCCGGGGGTCATGATTTGAACAATTTAAAATCTACACTATACCAGGATGCTTCCACATAAGTTTCAGCTTTACTGGCCCAGTGGTTCTTGAGAAGAAGATTTTTTAATGACCCAACCCTATTTTTGTCTTTTATTGATTATCTCCCCTTGCGAGGGCATTTGTCCCTTCATTTTAACAATTTAAATTCCCCTTTATCCAAGAATGCTTTGTACCAAGTTTGGTCAAAATTGGCCCAGTGGTTCTTGAGAAGAAGTCGAAAATGTGAAAAGTTTACAGACGGATATACAGACACACAGACAGACGGACAGACAGACGGACGGACGACGGACAAAATGTGATCAGAAAAGCTCACTTGAGCCTTCGGCTCAGGTGAGCTAAAATGTTATATGAAGAATTAAATTTGATCTTAAGTCTTAAGTACTTTTGTAAAATGGACCCCTGTATACGTCCGTCTACACCGGTGTCTACTGATTACACTGAAAAGAGAATACGTCCTGAACTTTATATAGGGGTCTGCAGTATCGAGATTCTGCGAACAAAAATGGCAGACACATTCCTTTTACGAATCGTGTTCAACTTTAATTAAATCGATTACTTTCTTCCTTTTTCATTTCAGGTAATTTGTTTAAATTTCTTGTTCTAATTTTTTTTTCGGGATTTGGAAGAGTTTTATCAATTTAGATTTCATTAGCACACAATTTGAAATATATAGAAATTATATTTGATTTTTTAAATGTTTATACCACTCATGACAATCACAGGTATATTCAATCTACCGGAAGAGAAAAACTAAAAAAAAATCATTTCCATATTTAAATGCTGTTGCAATTAAGTTTAAAGTTTGGCCTTACTTTTTGGCTTGAGGTTAAATTTAAGCATGATTATGCACAAATTTTTAAAAAACGTTTCACTTTTATCATATTTTGGAACAAAAAAGAAGATATTAAGTTTCTCGAATTAAGTCAAAAGATTTTTCCATGAGCAAATTATATAGCGCTATAACCTTTTGTAGGCTAAAACAATTTTTTACTTACATGAATTAAAATCGATGTCAGCTTAAAACAAATGTAATTAAAGCCAGTGTCTGCATTTCCAAAAATGCTCAAGAGCTGCTAAAATTAATTTTTATAGTGTGCAGTTACGAAGTTTCTATGTGACATTGTGCCATTATGACCTCCAAATTTAATTTTGATTGGACATCTTTTGGGTTTCCCATTAAAAACATGGATATTGCCATTATATTTATAAAATCAAATTTACCATCTCTTATTTGCAACCCCTATTCTACTACCGAATAAAGTTAAATGATACCTTTGCAGGATTTTTGTTATTGTTATTATACATCTCCTTCTGTATGTCTAAAATATATTTTTGAAAATCATTCATGTTGTTATCAGATGAAGTTTTTCTTTCATGTCAACATAGTTAAATTGCAATTTCAAGAGTGATGTTGCTTTCCACATAATTACGAGGGTTGATCCAAAAGTAATGTCACAAATCAATAAAATGTTTAATAATTGGAGTTTTAAAAAAACTTTAAAATTGATAGAGGTTTTAGTAAGTCAAATTTTTAATGCATATGACAATTCTCTTGCGTATTATTACTACAAATCTACATTATATTGAAAGGCGATCCAAACATGTCTTCTTTTTAAACATATGCATGTAAGATGTCTTTTGTAGCTGTTCTCTAGAGAACTTCGCGATTTAGAATGGATATGTTGATCCATGTCCAATTGTCTACAATAAAAATAAACCGAATTTGTAACATTATTTCTTACAGAAACATTGTTCTATCATAAAGATACCTTTAATATATTTGTTAAGGTCAAGATCTAGTAAATGAAGGGTGCCTACAGATTTTTCAAATTTAAGAAATTAATTCCTTTAATGATGCTTTATAACATTAGCTTGGTCAAAATAGGTGTTTCGGGGCATAATTTGTAGAAAAACAAAATGAAAAACCATATTTTATACTGTCATTTTCAATGAAAAATTAAGAAAACTAGTATTGAAAATGGGAGTTTTTTCCATATCAGACAAAGAAAATGTATCCAGATTGCCTACAGTTTTTCAAAAAACGGTAATTTGTATGTTCTTAGTCTGTGCTTTAAATTAATGTCAAATTGAAGATAGGTATCGGGACTACTTTTCAAGTGATTTCAAATTGAATTCCATGAAAACAGTTTATTTTCTACATAATTCTATTAGAGCCGTAAAGTACGGGAAAAAGAAAGTTGAAAGTGATTATGACGTCATAATGGATTTATCACTGAAACAATTTTCTAAAGTCATTTACTAGATCTTGACCTTAAACAATATGTGTGTTTGAAACACTGACAGTACTGTGCTGTTAATTTACACCTTACCTCTGGGGGATCTGCAGAAGTGGCCAGCAAAACAGAATCATCATTAGTGGCAGTACCCTGAATAAGTATAGTGATCATTCAATATGTGTTATGTAATCCCTTGTTTTTAATCAGATGGTGATACATAATTTTCAAGCAACAAATAAAAGAAAATACCTTATTATAATGTATATTGTACGTAAATTGTACGTAAACTGTAATACAAGTCAATGAAATCAAATAGCTAACATCTAGACTGTTTTATCTTACCGTTGATGATTGGATGTACTCTGGCACAGCGCTAAACCGACTGACGCAGTTAGAGTCGGTGAGATCTCCTGACGTCACTAGAACTCTAGCACGAGGGCAAACGTTGTCAGGACAACGGGCGATTTCATCGACTCCATAATCCTCTTCGTGCATCAGTTTGAAAAAGATGACTCTAAAAAATTGGAAGAAGATTAAAAAAGAATAGCGTTATTTTAAATGCACAAAATTAATTTTTTTATGGCTATTTAATTATTCTTTTCATAATCTGACCCAATGCCATATGTTATGTGTGATGTAGGCTGTATTTGACAAGTGTTGTATGTTTTCTAATCTATAACAAGCTTACCCAACAGTGCTGTCATAAAAGTAAGTACCAACAGTGTCGCTAGCCACCACCTCCTGCCTCGAAGTTACCGCATGGACTGGTCGTCTGTTAAAATTCTCCATTCGATACTCAAATCGAATTTCAGCGTTTCGTGGGACGCAAAACGCAATAAGCACATTGTTTTTCCTTAAAATAAAACAATTTTGGTTAAGATATTTCAACAAAATTCTTTATTTTTGATAAAAAATATTTCAGTTTTTATGGATAAAAACGTTTTCTACAAAAAAAAGTGTGTATAGTCTGTCACATATATGGCCTTTAATTTTATTTTCTTCTGAAAGTAAATGCAATTTATGTTGAAGGAAAATACATTATAAAATTAGATCTTTAAATTTTTTCATTAACATGAAATGCACAAATTAAACTGTTTTTCTAAGGTCTATAGATATCGCCAAGTTTTGATTCGGTTATATTGCTGTCGAGAGCACAGAATAGGCCCCCCCCCAGGAAATGATCAAATAAATTGTAAATAATTGTCATTTTGTTATTAATAGCGAGCATCGGAAAATCACAAATTATGATAAACCCATTTCCAAGTAGTTTCTTTTTCTCTTTATCCATATACTTTTCTGTCGTATAAATAAATATACGCGTTGAATTCTATGAATAACTTGTAGCTGGATGTCTATTGTTCAAACCTATTTAGAGGGGAAATAGTTTGATATTTACTTAAATGTAAAGATAGGATGCAATAATTGATATTGTTAGTACCGCTGGACAAACTAAAAATGATATATGCCTAAATAGTTATAGTAAATCTCACTTTGAAATCGCTCTGGCGTCGAAGTTGACGGAAGACGGGAGTGTCCCTGCTATTCTGACTAGATAGCTGTGAGATCCCCCCAGAATCGGGAGGAAATGTTTTTCCATGTCCATGACTAGGTGTAATGAGGGCAGATTGCCGTCTGTCCTGTACACATGCATATCGCTGTTAAAGCGATCTGTATATGTCACGAGTACCTTGAGGGAAAATTTTGTGTGTTTAGTCTCTTATAAATTTAAAATCCTTCAGCCCCCACCCCCTTAAGATTTTAAATCAAAAGTAGTGTTTTAACAATATATAGGCATTTAATTTGTTTCTTTTTAATATACCATTGTTCTTTGAAAAAACAATTGTTTTTTAAACAATTTTTTATTTGTTTTTACTTGTGTCCATAGAATGCATTTAATTAAAACCTGTGCAAATATGATATTGAATAACCTTTCTTCTAAATGCAAACTTTTCAATTCAACTCGAAATAAAAGATACATAGGTTTCATATTTAGTTATTTCACTAACAAAAGATGTTTAAGGTAACCTGATAAAAAAATTAATGAAAAAAGGTGATATTTTCAATGTTTATGTCGTCAACTTCCTTTATTTATGAAGCAATATTCCTTATTACCTTCATTTGGAGTTTATGTCTCTAGTTGATTCGATACACAAGAGCATGTTCTATGTACATACAATTTCTGAAACAAGGTAAGCTACTGACAAATAAGTTAATGAAACAAGGATATCAACAATCTCGTTTAAATCTATATTTCGCATACTCAGTGGTCGATATAATGCCTTGTCATCAAATACAATATACCTTGAAGTCGAATGTTTACTGACCTTATCAAACAAAATGTTAGGACATTATTTTCAAACTGAAATGTCTACAGATTTTTTCATTTACTTGATTATGACAAGGGCTACACGGCGGGTGTAAAAGGTCGACAGGGTATGCTTGCTACTCCATGTCAGCTGATCCCATCTCTGATGTTTTAGAGGCCTGTGTTTGCTAGGCTTCTGATCTGTTTACTTTCAATGGACTTTTGAGCATGATGACTAATCGTTATCTTAAAGATTCATTACTGTAAATGTATTTTATTTAGCGAGTACGATATTTGGCGGAAATTGATTTTTGAAGAAGTTAGTGTAGATTTAATTTAGCGTATTTATTCATATTCTTATTTGTATATGTGCAAGGCATTTAGCTTTGCACCTGATTTAGCCGTTGTTGTGTTCCGCTAAAAAGAATACACAGCCAAATATTATACATTTACAGTATATTGTGCTAATAAACATTTATTCATACTTACAGCATTTTTGCCGTTTTTGAAAAACATATGTCTCTGGGAGCTTAAAATTAATTTTCTGAAAATTTCCGGTCAAACCGGAAGTAGCAAAAAATGGCTTATTTTTGCATTATTAACTTAGCTTTAGAGGATTCAAAGCATTTTCGGGCGTAATTTCTCATTTTTGTTAAAAATGAAAGCTACTTCGGAAGACCTATTCGGTCAAAAAACAACATTCACTTCCGGCCAAACCGGAAGTATTAGGAAAACGCGTATTTTTGTTGCTTTGCAACGAGTAGCAAAAAATGGCTTTTTTGCTTAATTAACATAGCTTTAGAGGATTCAAAGCATTTTTGGGCGTTATTTCTCAGTTCAAAATCATAAGATACAAAGAAAATGAAAAAAAAAAACCTTTCCATACACAAAGGGACAATAAGCAGCATTCCACCCTGATCTAATTTTACATTCCTTTGTTAGCAGGAATGGCTTACTGGTAACTATTGTGACGTCACTATTTGACAAAGCTTTCCTGTTGTCCCTCAGTGAAAATATTGCATCAGCATCTGGGGATCTTGATGTGCAATCTCTGAATAAGAATCTTTTTCCCGGTCCCTTTACAAATTCAGAAACAAAATTTATTGAATTCAATAGAATTTCCAGTAATTGTTGTACGGATCATTGTTAACTAATCTTTACGAAGGCAATTAAGATTTCATTACCAAATATTTAATTAACAATTGTATTTTATGCCAGGTTTAATGACATTGATCATGTCAGCAACCAAAGAAGAATTTAAATAACAAAGCAAGGCTTTAAAGTGGTAAAGAAATTAACATTATTTTCTACAGATCAATGTTACACTCAAAGTGCACTTTTCATAATTTTTTTAACAAAACAAATTAAAAGTTATTTTAAAATGTTTCACTGTTATGAAAAAGTGACTTGCACTGGACAAACTATACTATATATAATATATAATATAATTATGTTATATATAGTATTATAAGTATCTACAACATTATTTCTTAAGCATGACATGCTAGGACAGATTAAAAAAGGGGCCTGTTAACAGTACTGTATATTCAAAGAATTAAAATAAATTACTTTCTTACCAAAACTTTTAAAGAACTACTATTCAACTTCGAACAAGAAATATTCTACTGCAAATGTTTTAAAAATCATGAAATGTACATTCAAAATGCAGTTAATAACTTACATCATTAAAGTCAAACATAAGGTTATTCAAAGCGTTCCTTGGATCGTTGTGACGCATACATTCCTGATTACCGATAGCCGCGGCTGTTCTCACTGCAGATGATTCAAATCCGCCAAACCAAGTGTTCCTTACTGTTATTGGGCCTTTTGAAAAACGGAACCCAGTTATATCTCTATCTCTACAAAATATAAAAAGAATGTATCTCCATCTGTCTGGAATACACACTTGATGAACAAAATTTCCAAAATGATAATTAATTAAAAGATAAAAAATAATCAATATACAGTAAAAAGAAATCAAAAACCTGAAAGAGAGATTTTCTCCGACATTATCCGAGAGACCGATAATGACGCTGTCTTCAAATATCTGCCATATCGATTCCTCTCTACAAAGATAGATATTAAGAATCATATAGACGATATAGTTATCAAATTCCGAATCTACAATCATAATTATAATATAAATTGCCCATGTTGAACGGATATTCACATAATTGTCCAAATCCATCACTCCTTCTTATTTCAAATATTAAAACACTAACATTCCAGTTTTCTAAACAGTGTGATTTTCGGTTAAAAATGTTTACGTTGATTACGTTTACGTAGATCAAATTGTAATTTTAATGAAAAAAGACTTAATAGTATGATTTTGTTCAAGTATATTATCTCATAAAATCATAGTGTTGGTAATTACATATGTAACAATTCTTTGCCTTTGTCGTAATTTTTTTAGGAAAAAATTCCACTAGAGAGCTTGTTTATAATAACATATTGTAACTTATTTCACATATTCATTATACACACCTCAAAAGAAAAGCTCCAAATCGGCTGTCTGAAAGTCTGAAAGGAAAAGTGCGGTACTCTTTTTGAAACATATATAGAATATAATATTAAAGTTCAGCAATAAGCAAGCGGTGGTTTTGATTTACTTACGATGCCCTTCTGACAATAACAGGAGACGAACGAATCCATAAATTCTGAACGATACATTTACTGGCTGAAAAAAGAACAAACCGCAAAGAAGTCTTACCGATTAGAAAACCCAAAACACACTGAGTGTAATATTGTAGCTTTTCAAGAACACTTACGTATGTTGAACTTTACCACTGAAGTAACTTCAATTATTGCAAACAGTTGTAATTGACAACAGTATAAAAAAAATACATTGTTTGGGAAATAAAACCTTATACCTGTACTTGTATGGTGATTTCAGTTAATAAAATGAAACCTTTACCTGTAAAACCATCAAATACCGCAGGAGCAGGGGGTGAACTAGGATCCAGAGGATCAACCTTAGGGGTATAATGATTGTATCCTCCGAAGGTCAAGTCTTGTTTAAGCTCATTATCAACGAAAAGACACTAGTAATTGAATAAAACTGACTTAATTTCGGTATTTTGTAAAGAATACATTTAAGTTATTAAAATTATAATTTTATATTTATAATAATAAATATTTTAGAATTATTTTCCCTAATACATTTTTTACAATTAAAATGATCAAAAATAAAATCATTTATGTCTAAATCCTGTATTTTGATGGTATTGTACCGTTTCGTAGGAGTGGCAGGAATTGTCCAAAAACTTGGTTATTCTTGTATGCTGTGCTTCTCCTGGTTGCATAAAATTTTTATCGACCGAGGGACCAGTTGGTATATGTGAAAAGATGTACCAGAAACCAATGCCCTGAAAACGAAGAAATAAATAAATATCGATTAGATGAAAATGCTGGGAAACAATTTAAGAGCAAGTGTTACGACAGTACCAAAGTAAAATAAAAACGAAATAACAGGAAATGTCGTACTTCGCCACCCGCAGCTACATTGTTCACCAAAGTTGTCAATGGACTAGTAAGCCAAAATGTCGCTGGACCCTTTGTTCTGAAACATAAAGGTTCTGATTACAAAGTATGAAACCGAAAATTACCAACTGCTCGTGTTGTTTCACGTTAAACTGCTTTGTTGCAACCACATGAATCTTTTTTTTTCTTTTGACCTAAAACTATTATAAATGCGTTACATACTTGTCTGCTGGAATCGCGCCTGTAACCCCTAAAACAGTGTCCCCCTTAAATCGCCTCTGTCCCAGTCCAAGGTTTCTGTAAAATGTGATGTTTTTCTCCCCGCCGTCTTCAAGGAAGAAACCATGACCCACACTGTCATAGCACACATTGTCTGTGATCTAAAGCAAACGTTTGACAATGTGTTTTTATGATATTTAAAATATACATTACAGTGCGTGGTTCAAAGTGCATAAAACGATCTTTTTAACATTGTTTAGTCATATCGAAAGGCATCCAAAATGTCAATCGATTTTTTTTTTGGATTTGATAGAATTTTCTTAGGCCATCTTTAAAATAAAATTTGTTTGCATGCCCTCTCTCGGCACAGGGTAAAAATATTGAGTCGGCAAAGTACATGTAGGTGGGGATTTTTTTTCATAGAAAATTTAAACATACATAATGACCGGATGAGAAAATCCAGGAATAAAAAAAAAACAACGTTGGTCTGCGCGAAACCCTGATGGCTCGCTGTCTTTACGGACGCCAAAGTCCGATGGTCACGCCAAAGTCCGATGGCTCGTTTCCTATGGGACACATTGCGCTAAAGTGCGATGTTCTGATACGCCAAAGTCCGATGGTGCGGAGGAACAATCATTAATGTTTATGACGTCACAATAGTCCAACGTCATGCCATTGTCCTGCATTCAAAATGCATTGAATCATTATTCGTCTCGTGTATACAATTTTACTGATTTTGCTTATTTTTTTCACTCCTTAGAGGCATTAATTAGGGTTGGTCCTCGCACACCACTCGGTTGATAAGGCTTAGTCCTTGAACACTATCGGATTGATAATATGTTTGTTCGAACCCACCCGAGAGATTTAAGGGTTAGCCTATTCCTCGACTGATTTGGATTAGTCCAGCACTCACCCCAGATATTTAGGTTATAGTTACTTAGTATTACAAATTTTTCGACTGCATAGGTTTAGTCTCGCACCTATATCCAAAAGATGAGGGTTAATCTTTGCATTTAATATTTATTTGTATATTTTTAAACAATCGGGCCTTGGCATGGCACGGAATCGCATTTTTGCGCAATAGTACTATAACGTCATAAACGTTAATTGTTTTCTGCACCATCGGACTATGGCGTGTGAAACCATCGGAGTTTGACGCAGACCATCGGACTTTGGCGTGACAATGGGACTTTGGAGTCCCATCGCACTTTAGAGTCCTACATTTATATCAATGTAAAAATTAGATTCCCTATTGGGATCCCGCCCTACTCCAATGTTTTTAACAATTTAGAATCTACATTTCCCAAGGGTGCTTCCACATAAGTTTCAGCTTTTCTGGCCCGGTGGTTCTTGAAAAGAAGATTTTAAAGATTTTTCTATATATTTCAATGTAAATCGTGGATTCCTTATTGGGGCCCCGTCCTACCCCTGGGGATCATGATTTTTTTTAAAAAATTGAGAATCAACACTACCCTAGGATGCTTCCTCATAAATTTCAGCTTTTCTGGCTCAGTGGTTCTTGAGAAGAAGATTTATAAAGATTTTTTCTTGATATTTCAGTGTTGAACTTGTATTCCCTATTGTGACCCCGCCCTACATCCGGGGATCATGATTTTCACAAATTAGAATTTACACTTCCTCATGATGCTTACAAATGAGTTTCAGCTTTTCTGGCCAAGTGGTTCTTTAGAAGAAGATTTTTAATAACCTCACCCTATTTTTGCCTTTTCTTGATTATCTCACATTGAAAGGGCGCTTGACCCTTCATTTTAATTTAAATTTCCCTTTATCCGATGTTGCTTTGTGCCAATTTTGATTAAAATAAGTTAAGTGGTTCTTTAGAAGAAGTTGAAAGAAAAAAGACGGATGGACAGAAGAAAGATGGACGGACGACGGACAATGGACAATCAAAAAAGTTCACTTTGGCTTTTAGCTCAGATAAGCTAAAAATTGTTTCATGGAGGCAAATAAAAGTTTTGAGTTGGCCATTTTCAGGCAGTCGGTTGAGAGGGGACAAACATTTTTTTAAGGATGGATTCATGTTTTTTTGTGTTTATCTTTGGAAAACTTACATATGCTGAGTGCGTTCCGTGGATCGTCATACATCGGAACTGAGTATGATGTATAGAGTTCCTCCTTAAGTACGATTCCTGAGGATACAATGTACGATCCGCGAGATCATAACACATATGATAATGAAGTGGATATCGACCTAATAGAAAAAAGGGAGTACATTTCAGCGGAGTGTTACATAGAGAGTTCTAAGAAATGGATGACTTATTAAAGTTAGTGCTTGTTCAGTTATATCTTTCTTACTCTCACCTAAAATCAGTGGGTCGCCCAGATTAGTAAGCTCTGTTCCCTCGACAGCCACACGTTTAAAACCTTTCAGAAACTAAATAAAAGAGCACGTGTCACGATAATAAAAAAGTTAACATTCACACCTTGATATACAAAAAGAAACTTTTCATGTTTAACACTGAATTCTCTATTTTTTTCTTTTAAGGGTAAGCGTTGTGAAACACGAACATATGAACATTAGTATTTTGCTTGATTTACCTTGATTTGGTATGTTTAATCAAATGAATTTTTACTGAATGATGACGTCAAAATGCTATGAGGTCATAAAGGTTCTTCGATGTTATACTTGTATACAACAATGATGCATTGGCCTTATATTCTCAACAATAAGATTAAAATGCTTTTCTTTTCAATTAATTATATACATCTTTCAAAGTAACTTCTTTGTTAATAGATATTATATATGAAGAAAATAAACTTCACGGAAACTGAAGGTGATAAAAAAACATTACCTTGACATGTCCACCATTAGTCTTTCCTTCGGAAACCTCTGACGTTATATGAATATATCGGGTCATCAATCCTACTTCCGCCCGCATGTCCACTCTTTTGTATATCTCTCCATAATGTTCATACTTCAGAGAGTCTATAGTGGAAACAAACCAATTATCAACAATTCTTTAAATATTCTGAAATCACTAATTTTCATGAATTTTCCATGAATCTCATGAATTTAAGTCCTTCACTAATATTTAAATGAAGATTATACTACACTTCTTCAACCTGAAAAACAAATCTCAACGTATCTTACTTTTTCCTTCATCAGCGAAATTTGACTTCACGGAAATCAGTGACTTAACAGTGTTTACACATTTTAACCATGCTAAAGAGATATGAATAATAAACTCAATCAACTTAGTAGATATCCTAAACGATCAATACAATATTAAATATCCTAGTTGTAAGTTGTTCAAAGAAAGTCATTGGGAACATTACTGGACCTTTCAGTCAAGTCCGAAAAGACCTAATTGATATTCTGATTGTAAGAAAGGTACTCACGGTCCATCCTTATGACATTTAGAGGACACTGAGAACACTCTATGATGGTAAATTCTTCTACATGGTACCACCTATAGTCAGTGGATGTGATGAATATTTTATCTCCTGGAACCATATTTGATAAAACTTAGAAGCATATTTTACAATTAAGAAGGTTTTAAGGTTTTGATAACATGATATAGGAATAATATAACAAAAGAAAAATTAAGCTTCTGGTCATAACTTTTATTTTTCAAGTGCCCTAACAAATTTAGGAACATACCCACGTTCCATTCATTCATTACGTCATCGTGCACGGATATAACAGGTCTCGTGAGTATGGTGTTAATGACGTGGAAGTCCGTGTAGCTACGCCATTCCTCGATGCCATGGTTGTAAGAAGTCACTGTTATTTCTCTTTCTATATCAGGTACCACATAAGTAATGGAGGCCTCGTTATAATCAGCACCACCTGAAGCATCACCGCCCAACTCTTCTTGAACCGAAGAAGTGTGACCTTAGGATATACAATTGGAATAAAGGTAGACATAGCAGAAAGAGAGTGACAAATAATTCTTATGATTTGGGAAAGTTTTATATTTGTTTTGATTTACACGCACCTTTTCGGCCGATGGCTACGTAAGCGTCATTTGTCGTTGCCAGTTTGAATGTTGTGGCACCCAGTGCGTCCATGACGCTATAAAGGGCACTCACGTCCTTAGATCCTAAAAAGTTCTTTTGTGTGGCAATTGCAAATATGTCATCATCTGGGATACCTGCATAAGAAGAATATTAATATGAATTGCTTCTATGTAATGGTAATTGTTTTTTAAACATTTCAAAACAAGATTTCCGGTAATATTTTTCAATGTACTCACCATTCAAGAAATTGGTAAGATTTGCTATCGCTGAGTCCACTTTTTCTTGATTCCAGTAATCGATTCTTTGGTTAATGCTTCCGCTAACAAACACAGCTTGGTCGTTAACCATGTCATAATCCTCTGGTACGGACACCGAGAAATGATAAACGAACACTCCTGGTGACCTATTTGGTGAGTTATCCTGTATAAATTATACTGAAAAGTTAGAGGTAAGTAGTTTTTATTGATTGATTTAAAACATTTCTACTAATTTTTTGAATTATTATTATTACTTATCATTCAGTAATTTTGATTTGTTTGGTTGTGTACCAATGGTATCTGTGCGATTCCTCACGTGAGAAACATTTCATCTGAAAACTAGTACACTTGTTGATTCCCTACCAGTGAAACTGGTCTTTAAGCAAATAAATTGATTGAATTTAGATATGGGAAACCGGCTGTAACTAGTTCGCCTCAACCTACCATCGCATTTACTTGAACTTAGAGAAGAGGCACTTTACATACAGAACTTTACAAATAAATGAATACATATTTACATATTTTGTTCTGATAATCTTCAAACACGTAAATAAAAAATAAAATATTAAGATTTATACATGATTTTAATTTTAATTTACTCTGTGTTTGTAAATGTCGCCGAGTGTCGGGTTGTATTTAGGTGCTGTCCTTGTCAGTTTGGTCCATGACCTTTTGTCCTTGCCATGGAGCTCTAGCGTTCCTCCTGCTTCTACTCCGATAAATTTATCACCAAACGAGGGGACGTTGGATCCTTCCGGCTCGTCTAAATATAAAATTCTATCATGCATTTTTCATTTCAATTTTTTAATTGAATTGGAGACCCTAAATCTGATTTCAATTCGATTTCAATGAGTTTTAAATGCATAAATATGAGATACTTGACAGAGTTTATAAAAATCAATAGAAAATGTATATGAAAAAGAAAATTTTAAAAACTATATAAATGGTTTTGATTTTTTATTTACAGTCATGAACTTTAATAAATGGTTCTACTACTGTTACTAACATTTTTTATGAACATTTTAATGTCTGTCTTCGGTCGATCAGCTTCACTGATTATTTCAAACTAGATCACGATTTTTAAACAGAAAATAACGATTTACGGTATCACACTTCTTCTGTCTTCAAACATGAAATTGAATTTTAAAAAATAGGTATGCACGAATGAAAACACAGTATAAAAATATATAATGTTAGTGTGGAATGACCTTTTAGTTTAATTCAATAATAAATCAATCTTTAAAAATTTATACAATTTAAAAAAAAAATATTGTGATTTCTTCCAGAAAAAAAAACGGATAGCATTGTTTACAGTAGATATTTGATATTTATAATAACAGAGTACTTTTTCAACATAACTCCATCACAAATAAAACACATTTATGTTCATTGTTCATAGATGTATGAAATACTAGTGTGGAGATAACCAATAGTATTCAAGCCGAAAATTCCGTTCAAACAAATCTGTATATATTTCAATTTCGATATTTAAAAAAACAATATTGGTGTAAAATAATTTAGATGGCGTCACTTTTTGTTTTTATAAGACAAAAAGAAATCTGGGCAACATTTTATATTAAAAGCATAATAATAATTTTATACTGAGAAACCTGTTTTGGTAAAAGTCTACATACTATAGGTATAAACAAGAGTACTTTCAAAGTTCTTACTCCAACATTGGTAATAAAGGCCGAGGTAAGTTTTTAATGATCTGAAGAGATTCTAAATCTATAGATGCTAATTACCTAGCAGCGTAATTTTGGCTTTCCTGTCAAATTGACAGTCTTCACTTCCTATGTGCATTTCCGCTCCATTTTTGATAAGGATGTGCCCTGTCCGTACACTGTGGTCGCCATTCCTGCCCCACACGAGCTTACCGCCGGTCTGTATCTCAATAAAGGACAACTGAGGGGGACTTATGTCCAGTAAAACAGGAAAGTTGATGATTACCTGGCTATTTTCCTGGGGTACCTGTCAAAAACATTTCAAAGAAAAATATGTATATTAAGCTTCCCATCTTTTAATAACTTTCACGGTTACAAGTAAGTTTTGCACTGTTGTAGATGAACACAAATGTTAAGAAATCAATCGTGCATATTTACATGTAAATGTGTTTATGTATTTATAGATATATTTAGTTTGCTATGTACAGTTGTGAAATCTAATTAAAAATGATTGAGTGAATAATAAAAAATAAAATAAACTCTATCACTGACTTTACACCACATCTATATGCATTAAAGTTTAAAGTGATTACAACAAAACACTTTAGCTGATATATTCATGAAGAGTTACACAGTGAAATTCAAAAACATCCCTGAAAAGTACAAAAAAATTTTGAACTATATTTGTATAAAGAAAAAGGAATTTGTAATTCAATTAAAAAATAAAAAAAAAATATTTAGTCATTATATGTAAGAACGCTATTGGTACTTTACTCACTTGTCCACTGGGCCAGGAATTAGCATCTGACCAGGGCTTTAGTGTTGGATCCTGGTCTGGGCAAGCTGATAGAACAGTAGAAATATACAGGAAACAAGAGAGAAACGAAAACACTGTGACCGCCATCACTGAGAATGAGAATTTGAACGCTCCGGGTAAACTATACCTTATATATACGTCATGTTTAATAGTTAAGGGTGCAATTTCATAATCATAAAAAAATATTTAAATTACCAGAGTGTTAAATGGTTAGATCCTACGTTTAATTTTGATGTCTTTGCTATTAAATTAATCATCAAGGTAATATTTTTTGTAAATAAGTTTTGAAGACGCAATATAATTGTGAAATAACAAACAAGAAGTCATGGAAAATATAACTTGGGAAGTGTTTTATGTATCAATAAATACTTTTACCATTTTCAGGATGTATATTTCAAATTTTTTATTGAAAGTTAATCTCCGAGATCTATTTTTAAGACGCTATTAAATTTTGACATTTAGGCTTAAAAGCCAAGATATCTTTAACCCCCAAAATTATTCATTTGAAACTCATTTGAACCTCTGCGAAAGTGAAATTAATGATTTACCAACTTTTTTGATGAGGGAATATCTTCACTCTCCCTTTTGAATTAATCACGATGAAAAGTGAAAAGTAATTTTTTTCGTATTTATCTAAAAGCAATTCCTTTGCCCTTTTTAGATCAGCTCAATACTCCAACTTCATCAATTTTGTCTCGATATTTTATTGTTATTCTTTTTCTTGGCAATTTCACTTGGCATGCATGAAATTTTATTTTTTGTTGCTTTTGACAAATGTACATGCCTTTTCTTCCTTTTAACTTATTTGACTTTCTTGATAGCTGATTCTGTTAGAAAAGAAATGGTTCTACGGTACTTGAAAAAACAAAATCCACTGGTAAGTTTTACTTTTGAAAATCTTACAATCATTTCTCGTGCAAAAAAAAGTTACAAGACATACCCGACCAATATAGTATAGAAGGTGAAGATAACGAACAGTGATCGAACTCAAACTTTATAAACAATACAAATATTGGAGAGCATAAAACAAGACGTTGGGTCAGGTGCCTAGGAGGAGGTTTGACCGGACACACCCGTCGTGAGCTGAGATTTAAATTTTCTACTAAATTTAATTCGTGCCAATTTTCCTGACTACATTGACTGTTTCACAGTATTTTTGTGGTCTTTTGCCACTCAGATAAATTAGTTTAAAAGCTTTGACCTTAATCACATGTGTTATGGTCAATCACTTCACATCTTTATATAAACAGTAGATTTAGCTCACATTGTGTCAGTTTTTATTTCAGCAGCTGTGACGTAAAAATTATGAAGTCGAACAAAGTGGATTCATAGAGAAGAATGACATGTATTTGTAAACCATATGATAGCTACACACATAAACTCATATAAATAGAATCTCCCACTGATTTGTGATTGGATAAGATGGCACCTGATCCAACCTCTGATATTTTGAAGGTCCGTGTTTGCTCTGCTCGTGTTAAGTATCGTTTTGATCTTGAATGTTGTTCGTTGTTTCCATATGTTTCATCCAATTTGTTAAATGTTTATATCCTCTTGTCAGTGCTCGAGGATAGAAACCCAACAACTGGATAAATAAAAAATGTTTATTTTAAATATAGCAAATCAAAGTTCACTATTCTAAAGCAAAGTTCAAAGTTATCACTATAGAGTCAAAGTTATAGCTATAGTAATTCAGAGTTATTATATTGTCAAAGTTATCAAGATATTTAATCAAAGTTCTCATACTGAACACTATAATAGTAAATCAAAGTTTTCATTGTGATCACTATAGTAAATCATTGTTTTCATAATTTCAAAGTTATCACTATAGTAAATCAAAATTTTCATAGTTATCACAATAGTAAATCAAAGTGACAGTCATCACTAAAGTTAAATAATAGTTTTCATGGTGTCAAAGTTATCACTCTACTAGTAGTTAAGTTTAGCTGTTCTTTTTTTTTTTTTTTTTGTTAGAATGGTTTCATTGTTTTTCCATTGCTTACAATTATTGATAAGCAATTACTTCATCCGTTGTCGTTTAATCACATTTTTTATGATATTCATTTGAAAATAAAGTTAGCCCGTAGTTGTTCTGCTCCCAATTTGCATGACTTCAAAGGACTTTTGAGCTTGATTACTGTTGGTTATCTCCATATGTCATTTCTTTACAAGGCTCGTTTTTATAAATATATTTTGACAGGTTTTTGTGTTGATTACACTTATATAAGGGACGTGGAGACCGGTCTTTCGGGTGAGTTCGTGTAAAACGGGGGGTTCGGTGTCACAGTAGGAGTTGGCACGAAAAAGATCCCTCACCGCTGAATGGCCCTGAGTGTCGAGAATAGGTGTAAATTTGCAGCCCTCAACCGTCAACTGGTGTTGACTCCATATGAGTGAACAATTTTCGAGAGGGACGTTAAAACAAGAAACAAAACACATAGATAAATAAAACTACATCCTCAATATTTCCTTTTATTCCAAAGAAGGAATTATTCTGATTTATATCTTACAGTTTCATTTTTTTTAAAATTCCAGGCGACGATTAATAATCTTATTTACCATCCATTTATATTGTGCCAAAACGTCAATATTAAAACTCCGTTATAATGCAAATATAGGTACATATGTTCTACTAAAATGTACACTGTTCTAAAGAGAAAACTCGGGCGAATTGTTCTACGGCATATTCAGTGTTGAAAATCAAATGCTGATTCTCAAAAACTAATTAGAAAAATTTAAAAATTGGATATTACAATTACACTATCATTCAAAAGTTATATAAGACTTTATGACTTTTCTTCACTTTATACAATGGTAAATAACAGGTTTTCCAACAATTGTTGGAATTTCAATGGGCACTAAACGTGCTTATTTTAAGCTGTTTTTATTTTTCTTTGAAGCAAAATTTATTCAAAAACTTAAGATTGAGAAGAAACACATGTTGTGGCCTTCAACTCGACGGAGATTCATAGACAATGTATTATCAATTAAAATTTTTGGTTTACTTTCATTCATTTAAGGGCTGTTTTTGAGTTTTGTGTGAGTTATTGGTGTGTGAATCACAGTTACTTGTCACGTAGGCATATTTCATGAAGCGCGCTAGCGCTTCATGAAAAATATGCCTACGTGCAAGTCTGTGTGAACGGTTAGGGTTAGGGTTTTCATCCTTCACATATGTATTACTTGTGATAAAACCTTTCTTAAGAAACCAACAACTCAGACCCTTTCACCTTCGAGTTTGACCTACTTTTCAAAAAGAATCTTTATCTTCGACTTTTACTTTTGAACAGGTGGTGCTAGGGATTTTGTATTTCACAATGCTAAAGCGAGGGACAAAAAATAATGTGTAATGATGGGGTGTCGGTCATTTTGTTACATAACTCCATTGTGCACCTTCTATTTTAATTTTTGATTCAAGATTATATTTCTGGTTTCTCATAGCAAAACATGGATACTGCCATTCTTTTGAGGGTTTTATATTTTCTAACATTTTAATGATACTTTTACAGAATCTTTATTACATTTTATTACTGTGCACCTCCTGCTTTATGTTAAAAAGGTAAAATTTGGAGAGCATTCTAAATTTTTATCTGATTAAGTTTTTCTTAAGATTTTTTTTTTGTTTATCAACATTGTTAAATTGCATGTTGCATTTCACATAAAATCATGAGGGTTGATCCAAAAGTAATGTCACAACTGCTTTTAAACATTTAATAATCTCAAGTTTTCAAAAAATAGCAATTTCTTTAACGCTTGTAACATTTGATTATTAAAGGTTTTACGGAAGCTGCGACATTACTTTTCTATGACCTGTTGTTTCTTGACATAATCTTAAGAAAAATATTTGCAAAAAGGATCAATATACGAGGACTGTTCAATAAATAATGTCCTCTCTGCTCGGAAAGAAACAAAAAACGCTTTTCAATCATTTACCCTACATGATTTTACTCAAATATTCTCTTTTAATTAAAATACATGTTTGTTACATTTTTATCCAATATCTGGTTGTTTTAAGAACACATTTTTAGTATGGTCCTTCGTATACTGGAATATGGCAGATCCTATGATTTCCTGGACTTGTTTTATCTTTCTGAAAGGTGTTTTTTCAAGTTGGCAAGATGAAACAAGCCAAAGGGTGAAAGTTCTGGCAAATATTGTTGGTGTGAAAAATACATTAACTTTCTGTTTATCCCTAAAACTCCTTTACTCTTCATGGAGTGTTGGTTTGAACGATGTCATGAAGAAATTTAATGTAGTGTATTCCTGGTTCTGATTCCATCCTCTCATAGACTTTTCGATTGTTTTGCAAAAATTTGCTTTCTAGACTTCTCCAGAAATTGAGCTGCCTACCCGAATAAGAATTTGAACAACAAGACTACTAATATTTGAGAAAATGGCATATAAAACTGTTTTGTGCTTTTGTAATTCTTTTTTCTTCTCAGACCTTGACTGTTTTTGACAAATGCATCTTATTGTAAATTTGTTTTGAGAGTTCAAAGCAATGGATTCCAGTTTCAATATATATGTTTAAATTTCAAACACACTTGGATAACTACAATTTTTGATTTTTTAAGGGGGATGTACGGCCACCTTTAGTGCTGTGAGAACAAAATGTAAACATTTCTTCAAATGGCTAAAATACATCATATTTTGATCAAATTTTAAGTCCTTATGATAAAGATACAATAAATATTCATAACTGAATGCATGTTGTGCATATATAATCTATACTTTTGCAGAAAAATGCTTTTGATATGCTCCTTAGAACTGCGCACCTACAGAATTCAGCAGAGCCTTAAAAAATCCAAAAAAAATATGCAAACTGTGCATCAATGTTCTCGCTACAACCATTTGTTGAGAAAATGTCTAAATTTTGCACTTTTAAATGATAATTTCAAGTTCAAAACAAGGTATCGTTGTCTTCAAAAAAAGAGTGTAAAGAACCATGAAAGTAGTTCATGGATAGCAGCACGTGGTCTATTTTTAGCACAAAATTTTGTTTTCCAGACCTCTTCTTAATATGAAGGGACATAACAATCTTTAAATGTAGAAGAGAATTACAGTTGCAAAATATTTCAAATAATATGA